TCTCCAAGGAATGGTCCCCTCTGACAACATGACCAAAGTAGGTGAGACGAAGTCTGGCCATTCTCACCTCCGAGGAGAATTCTGTCTGCACTTCCTCCAGGACAGATTTGTTAGTTCTTTTAGCAGTACATGGTACTTTCAACATTCTTCACCAACACCACAGCTCAAAAGCATCAATTCTTCTTTGGTCTTCCTTATTTATTGTGCAGCTCTCACATGCATATGAGATGACTGAAAATATCATAGCTTGTGTCAGGTACACCTTAGTCCTCAAGGAGACATCTTTGCTCCTCAGCACTTGAAAGAGGTCCTTTGCAGCTGATTTGCCCAGTGCTATACGTCGTCTGATGTCCTGACTGCTGCTTCCATTGGCCTCGATTGTAGAACCAAGCAATGTGACATCTTTGATAATTTCAATCTCAATTTATCATGATGCTGCTTATAGGTCCAGTTGTAAATAATTTTGTTTTCTTTATATTGAGATGTAATCCATACTGCAGAGTGTAGTCTTCAATCTTCATCAGTAAGTACTTCAAGTCATCCTCACTTTCAGCAAGCAAAGTTGTGTCATCAGCATATCACAGGTTGTTAATGATTCTTCCTCCAATCCTGATGCCACGTTCTTCTTCATAGAGTCTAGCTTCTCGGATTATTTGCTCAGCATAGAGATTGAATAAGTGTGGTGAAAGGATACAACCCTGACACACCCCTTTCCTGATTTTAAACCATGCAGTGTCCCCTTGTTCAGTTTGAACGACAGCCTCCTGGTCTATGTACAGGTTCCTGATGAGCACAATCAAGTGTTCTGGAATTCCCATTCTTTTCAATGTTATCCACAATTTGTTTTAATCCACACAATCAAATGCTTTTGCATAGTCAATAAAACATCTTTCTGGTATTCTTTGCTTTGAGCCAAGATCCATCTGACAGCAGCTATGATATCCCTTGTTCCACATCCTCTTCTGAATCCAGCTTGCATTTCTGGAAGTTCTCTGTCAATATACTGCTACAACTGTTTTTGAATTATCTTCAGTAAGATTTTCCTTGCATGCAATATTAATGATATTGTTTGATAATTTCCACATTCTGGTCTCTAAATTCAGGAGGGATGTATTCAAGATCATATTTTGGGTCTCGTTTTGACTTGTTTTAATTGTCTTCAACTTCATTTTGAACTTGCATATGAGCAGTTGATGGTCTGTTCCACAATCAGCTCCTGGCCTTGTTTTGGCTGAAGATATTGAGCTTTTCCATCGCCTCTTGCCACAGATGTAGTCAACCTGATTCCTGTGTACTCCGTCTGGCGAAGTCCATGTGTATAGCCACCATTTGTGTTTTTGAAAGAGGGTATTTGCAATGAATAAGTCATTGGTCTTGCAAAATTCTATCATGCGATCTCCAGCATTATTTCTGTCACCAGGGCCAAATTTTCCAATTACCCATGATTCTCCTTTGTTTCCAACTTTTGCTTTCCAGTCATCAGTGATAAGCAACACATCTTGATTGCACGTTCAGTCAATTTCAGACTGCAGAACCATTTCCTATGGTGTTATAAGCACAAAATACCACCAATAAGTGCATTTTGAAAAGAAACGAGGATCAAGGGCTGGGCTGGTGTGGACGAGGGACATTTTCTCGATTTTATTAGTGTGTAAGGTTCTCTGCAAAGGCAGATTCAAGTCACCTACTTCCAACTAAACTGCCGTCTTTCAGCCCCTCCAAGTGATATTTCAGAACCACGACTACCACCACGATGGATGCGAGAAGAAGATGCAGCAAGATCTTTGCATCTGAGAGAAAATGATTTTGGTTCTAGAATTCTAGGCCCAGGCTGCCCTTTGTGCGGGGGAAGGTGTGTGTGTGTGTGGGGGGGGGGAGTCATGTCATTCTCAGATGCGGCTGTGCCGCTCCCTGGTGGTGGAGTCGAGGTCGTGGACGCAGAGCTGGCGGTTCCTAGACACGGGGGGCCGCCTTGTATCCATCAGCAGGGCGCTAAGATGATGACCTGAGGACGCCGAGTGGGCCTCCAGTTGTCTCGGTGTTTTCACAGGACGTTGAGAGCATCTTCTAACATACTTCCTGGTTGCCCACAGCCGGTTTCCCTCGAATCTTGCCTCCCGCCTTCCTAACCCACTCCTGTGCTAAGATCAGTCCTCCCAGCTGTGAGTCAGTCCTTCCGGGAGCTAACCTTTGCTTTCCTGCTGCAAACTCAGGCAAAGCCTGTCGCTTTCCTAAGCAACATGGCTTCTATCCCTTTGCCCTCTCTAGGAAGCTCTTGGAAGGCCCCGGGGTTAGTCCAGAAGGGGCAGCAGCTTCCCTGACCTCTGGCAGTTTGTTCACCCCGCCCCAGTCTCTCAGCACCAACTTTGACCCCCTTCCCAGCTTCCAGCCCCGACATGTTGAGGTTTCAGAACTCCTCATACTTCTCTGGTCCCCTCCCCACTTTCCCAGATCCCTGAGACCCTCTTCAGCCTGGGGACGGTTTCCTTGAGGCTGCCTAGTGACTCTGGGGTCTATTCCTCTGCTGACCTGAGGTCCACTCTGACCTCCAGGCCCCTTGCTGTTGGTCTCCTTGCCCTGCTGCCACGGGGCTCCACCTCAGCCAGTTCTCTCTCTCTGTCTGTTTCTATTTCCACCACAACCACACCAGTGTCTACACAAGCGTTCTCAGAGCAGCAGGGTGGACTGGAAGGTGAATTTTCAGTGAATCAACTAAGAACTCATTGGGGTCTTATTTACCTTCAATCTCTTGCAAAGGAGACAAGTCCCTTACCTACAACTGTGGATCATGTGTGTGTGTGTGTGTCAGCAAGTATTAAAACAAATTATATTAAGCCAATAATAAAAATTTATTAGAGTTTATTGAATATACAGTTTGCAAATCACAGTCACATTTCAACTAGAGAGTCATATATGTTTCCAGGACGAGAGATTTTTCACAGATTTTGATACGACACAGTACCATGGAAACAAGGCTAGAACAGTGTTTACATGATCACAACACACCTTGCAACACAGCAAGGTTTCTGTACCTGCACATAGAATTCCTCACAAGGCCCCAGGGAAATCTTTTTTATCAATTAATTAATAATCAATTAATTAAGCTTGGCTATTGTTTGACCTCATGGTGACTTTAGGAAGACTAGTTTCTTTAAGGCTCAAGGTTCAAAAGGACATCTTCAGAGCAATGACCTGGGTGGTGAATCACCCCAACTCCATGGACCTCAGATAGCTGGACTCCAAGAGAGTGGATGCCATTTCTCAGAAGAAGAAAATAAAAAATTCTAAGAGATGAGAAAAGATGCATCATGAATAAGCAGCGTCCTTTCTTGGTGGTTCTAGGGGATGGGGTCTTCTACTCAACGAGATGTTATTGCTGTCCGTTCTGACTCATAGCTTGGTGGTTCTAGGGGATGGGGTCTTCTACTCAATGAGGTGTTATTGCTGTCAGTTCTGACTCATAGCGACCCCATAGAACTGAACCCAGCACCACTGCTCCGGGGCATCCTTGCTGTGCTTGGGCCCATTGTTGCAGCCGCTGTGTCGTCCACCCCATGAGGGCCTTCCTCTTTTTCACTGATCCTCCACTTTACCAAGGAGGTGTCCTTCTCCATGGACTACTTGCTTCTGATAACAGATCCAAAGTTTGAGAGATGAAGTCTCACCGCCCTCAATTCTAAGGAGCACTCTGGCTGCACTCCTTCCAAGACAGATTTGTGTGTTCTTCTGGCAGCCCATGACGTGTTCAACATTCTTCCCCAACACCCTAATTCGAAGACATCGATTCGCCTTCAGTCTTCCTTGTCTCTTGTCCGGCTTTGGCCTGCATGTGAGGCAATTGAGAATACCATGGATTGGGTCAGGCACACCTTCATCTTGCAAGCAAATCGCTGCCCTCTAGCACTTTAAATAGACGGGATGCCATGTGCTTGTGAATCATTCCACTGGAGAACCATTCCATTCTGCTTTGTACTCGTTCACTCAGAGGATGGGTCTCCTCTGGGTCTGCTTCTGTCTCCCTCAAAGGGGGCTCCTGTTATCTCCTGGGAAATCGTCACAATCTCTGCTCTGCTGGTGGGACTCATTTCTCATTCTCCAGAGCAGTTACTTATTTTTCCTCTTTAAATATATTGTTGGGTCTCTTTAAGGGGGTATTGAGGAAAGATCAACCCATCGGCCATGGCTGCTGTCCTCCTTCAGCCTCCAAGCCCCTCTATGACCATGACCTTCTTCTGCACATTGTTAGTGTTATGAGGTGCCATTGAGATGGCTCTCCCTCATAGCAGCCCCATGCACAATGGAACGAAACACTGCCTGGTCGTGCACCACCCTCACAGTCCTTGCTATACCTGAGCCCATCATTGCAACCACTGTGTCAATCCACCTTGTTGAGGGCCTTACCCTTTTTTGCTGACCCTCCACTTTACCAAGCATGATATCTTTCTCCAGGGAATGGTCCCTTCTGACGTGATCAAAGTAAGTGACACAAAGTCTGGCCATTCTCACTTCCAAAGAGCGTTCCAGCTGCACTTCCTCCAGGACAGCTTTGTTATTCTGCCATGGCCCTTAGAAATTACCCACAAACCTCTTGTTCTACCAGCCCCCTTGGGCCACGCTGATGGGCCACCAGCCCCTCCCCTCACTCGAGGGTTTCCCAGGACCTCCCAGCCTTTTTCCACACCCCTGGCCCCAACAAACAACACCAAGGTTCAGGTTTTGCTCAAACTCTATTCATTTATTGGGGTTGGCCAATGTTCTACATTCCCCTCCTCTGCTCAGATTTCAAAGATCTGTCCCTCCCATCCCAGGCTTCTGGGAAAACCACCCTATGTCAGGCCGACTCATTACTGTTTAGCTGATGTTGTAGCTGGGATGTTTGAATTTCCTGTTTCTTTAGGTGAAGGGATTGGACTTCCTGTTGCAATTTAGGAGGCTAGCCTTCCTGTTGGTGTAGTTCAGGAGACTGGACATGAGGGAGAGGAAGTGCTTGCAGGTGGAGTTTAAACGGCTGAGGGCACCGGCTTGGGTGTGGTTGAAGTCGGGGTCTGGATCCAGTTGAAGCCTATGCTTGTGATACAGATGACCCCTATCTGGCCACTGATGGAGCCGACCTCCATCGACGGCTGTGGTGGTAAGACCCAGAATTTGTAGATCCATGGCCAGCCAAATTGCATGTGGCGCCCCTTGCTGGTAATGATGGTGATATGCCTCAGGCAGAGATCGAAGCTGCCAGTCACCTCAGAGATGTATTCTCCATCTTCCAGGAGGAATTCCTTGGACCTGCCCCCCAAAACTCCATGCCTCTGGCTCCAGACGTTCCCATATCTGATCTGAATTCTGGGAGGAAAACAGACAGTTGGGGAGAAATAACAAATCATTCAAAATGACTAAAATTTGCTAGCAATAAAAACAAAAACCATTTGGGTGGAAATTAACACTTCCAACAACTTTTTGTCATCTATGAGTCACTTACCACCACAACCATCGATGGAGGTCAACTCCATCAGTGGCCAGAAAGGGGCCATCATTATCTGTGAGTCACTCCGGGGCATCACTGAAGGGCCTTACAACTTGAAATGTATCTTTTATCCTGCCTGATGACCTTCAGACTTTGGGGTCATGTCAACTCTAAATTCATTTTCTGTCACAAGTGCCTTTTTTGTTTAGGGGGTCATGTTTTTGTGAGTGTTTCCAACCAACGGTCATCTGCCGGTCAACTTTGTCCCTGACTAGTGTGATGGTTAGTTTTATGTGTCGACTTGGCTAGGCCAGTTATCTGGGCAAACACTAATCTTGGCTTGCTGTGGTCTTTTGTAGATGGGGTTAGCGTCGACAACTGGTTGGCTTTCAGTAAAGATCATCCTCAGTAATGTGGGTGGGCCTTATCTAATCAGTGGGAAGGCCTTCAGAGCAAAAGCTGATGTTTCCCAGAGGAGAAACTCTGACTTAAGGCTGCAAAATGTATGCCAACTCCTGCCTGACTTTCCAGCCTGCCATGTGGATTTCAGACTTTCAGCCCCCACAACTGTCTGAGCCAGTTCTTAAAATGAATCTTAAAATAATGAAACTAAACCCACTGCCCTCAAGTTGATTCTGACTCACAGCAACCCCTGTTGAGTTCCCAAGGCTATGAATCTTTACAGAGTGAATTGTCTCCTATTTCTCCTGTGGAGCAAAGGATGGGTTTGAACCACTGACCTTCTGGTTAGCAGCCAAATGTCTTGCCCAGTAATCTACCAGAGCGCCATTGAAATAATGTGTGTGTGTGAGAGAGACACACAGAGAGAGACCTTCTTTAAATAAATATCATAGATAGATAGATAGACAGATAGAGAGATACATAGACAGATTCTCTCTGATATAATGATTTTTAAAAGTTGCCATTGGTCTGGGTTGGGGACAGCCCTGGGCTGTGAGGCCCAAGGAAAGAGGTCATCCCAGAGCCAGTATCTGTGGAAGCTGGAGTGGGGCTGAGAGGGACTGAGGATGCATTTGGGAAGACCAGGCTCTCTGGTGCAGCCTGGCTCTGGGCCCACTCACCCTTTGATGACAATCCATTCCATGAAAACCCTCACGCCTGTGATCCTCTGGTCCTTGTGTCCTTGGATGAGGAAGGAGGAGCCCCCGCCGTAACCAAAAATCCCTTTCAGGAGGAAAGGAAGGAGGGGGGCTCAGGCTGGCCTCAGGGAAGGAGCTCCCCGGAAACAGGACCCAGCCCTCCTCCCTCTCCCAGGCCCCGGGGCCCTATATCAGCTGCTCCCGGAGACACACAGGGGTGTATGAGCTCAACTCTGTCCCCCAAAAAACCTATGTCCTGATTCCTGGTACCCGTGAATGTAACCTGGGTTGGAAATTAGGTCTTTGAAGATATGACCTGCTGGCAGGAGGTCATACTGCAGAGGGGTGGGTCCCGCTCCCATCCTAAGGGGAGAAGAGACACAGAGCAGAGGAGAAGCCTGGGGCAGACAGAGAGGCAGTAGTGAGGGGGCTGTGGACTGAGACACTCCCACACCCGCCAGGACCCACCAGAAGCTGGAAGAATGGAGGGGGCTCCCCACAGAAGCTCCCAAAGGACTTTGGACTCCGCCTCCAGAGTGGTGAGTGACCCCGTTCCTGTTCCCTCCATCCCCCCAGTTTGGTCAGGGCAGCCCCAGGACGCTGACAGAGGAGACTGGAGCATGTGGGCGGCAGCTACTGGGTCTGACCTGTGGGGACCGGAGGGCTCCAGGTCTCCACTCTCATGGCGGTGGGGGGGCGTTCCCTCCAAAAACACCAAAAGACTTGCCCCCTCACCCCACGTAACTAAACTGAAAGCATTACACCACAGGGTCGTGGAATTCAGTTCAGATTTTTCTCTACATCCACATATGAGACGTTGTTGGCCCCAGGTCATGTTCACAAAGGCTTTCACATTTTGGGGGGCCTCCCATGTGGCTGGGGCTCTGAGTCTGCCAGACGGAAGAATCCAGTATGTGGCCCCCTCCGGTAACCCTGCGGGTCTAAACCACTGGCCCTCCGGCTGCCCCTTGTCCCTGCAACCCCAGGAATTTCCACTGAGCCTCCAGCCCACTCTCCCCATGTTTCCGTGGGAAACTTGTGTCAAGGGGAAGGGCCATGTTAGGCGGTGACTCTGGCCCTACGGTCCCTGGAGGCAGTGACCCGGGAAGGCAGAGAGAGGGAGCTGCGGGTGACAGGGGCTCCCCCAGCATCACCTGGGGGCCTGCTGGCTGCCCTGGTTGGCCTGGAGATTGGAGGTGATAGAACACAGTAACTGTCATTTACTGGGGGGCCTCTGTGTCAGCAAGGATGTCCCCTCCTCTCCTCCTCCTCCCACGTCCTCTGAGGGGTGTCTTATCCCCGTTATAGAGGCAGGAGCTGAGGCTCAAAAAGGTGAAGGGGCCCAGGTCTGGAGGGTCCCCTCCATAAGAAGTGGCCCCGTGATCACTCCTGGGGCCACCCCCAAGTGGCCAGGGACCCGCACACCCCTGTAGGACAATGGCTGAGCCGGCTGTGGGTGGGCAGCTGGGATGGGCTCCTGTCGACACTTTGTGGTCTGGCTCCATCCGCTGGGTCTGTTTCTTCATCTGCAAATGGGGCCAGAGTGGCAGATGACCTGCTCGGGGATGACCGTTAAGGCCGCAGGAGACAGCGCCCACCCCTCACTAGATGGAGGGGTTGGTGCAGGCGGGGGGCTGGGGGAACACAGGGCCGGGGCTGTGCACCCCCAAGGCCCAGAGGCCCTGCCACACCTGGAGCAGGACCTACTCTGGGTGCTGCACGCGGAGCCCACGAGAAGGGCCAAGGACAGCAAGGACAGCAGCATCTGGAAAAAGAGGCAAAACACAGGTGGGTGCCCCACGCAGGGCAGGACGGGTGCAGGGGTGAGCACCCCAGGCAGGAGGACGGGACGGGTGGAGGGGTGAGTGCCCCACGCAGGGCGGACGGGTGGAGAGTGAGTGGATCCCCGCTCTCGCTCCCTGCCAGGCCCTTCTGCTCACCTCAGCCTCAGCTCTGAGCCGTCTCTGGGTGGCTGCCGTTCCCTGGACCCTCTTGTCCTGCAGGCATGTGCAGGGCCTTCAACCTGGGCTTTTATAGGGCACAGGGAACCCTTCCAGGCACAACTTTGCGCCCAAGTCTGGGCCCTGCACTCCCATGCCAGGACAAGGAGACCTTTCGGATGACTTATCTCAGCATCCTGCTCACCAGGGCTCCAGGATTCGCAGGGAGGGGGCTGGGCCCCAGGCTGGTGGGGGAAGGGCTGGGAAGTCAGCACAGACATCACAGACCCCCCACGCGCCTCCCGCCAGAGTCTGCCTGTGGGGGCTGGGAGGAGACCTCCACCTCCGCCCCCACCCCAGGCCTGGACGCCCCCCACGAGGTCCAGCTCCAATAGTGGGCTGCTCGGCACCCTCCGGGACCTGAGGAGAGAGGAATCCAAGTCTTTCCATGGAGGTCACAAGGTCCCCGGGGCTGGCCGGCTCAAGGAGGGGTGCCAGTGGGCAGGGTGGTGGGAAACAGAGACCGTGACTAAGAGGCTCAGGCTCCAGACACCCTATCCCCTGACCAGAAAGGTGAAGAGGAAAAGGGGCAGCGGCAGGGCTGCGTTGTTTCCTGTGAAAAATACTGAAGGGCAGGGCTCAGGTCACATTCCAGAGGCCACAAACACAGCACCCGAGCAGGACAGACACAAGCACATGTGTCCCCATGTGTGCATGTGTGTTTTTGTCTGTGTATGTCCATGTGTATGCATGCATCTATGTGTGTGTGTCTGTGTGTGTATGTTTCTGTGTATGTATGTATATATGTGTATTTGTGTGTCCATATATATGCTATACCTGTATCTGTGTGTATGCATATGTGTATATGTATGTGTGCTTGCATATGTATGGATTCCATGTGTGCATGCATGCATTGTATGCACATGTGTGTTTGTGTGTGCACATGTGTGTACAAGTGTTTGTGTTTGCATGCATATGTATACATGTGTTTGTATGTATGCATATAAGTGTGCATTTGCATGTATGTGTACATGTTTGTGTGTATGCATATATGAGTATGTGCGTGTGTGAGAAAAAGCCCCACGCCTGCAAAGTTGACCTTGAGTGTCTCACACGCTGGCTCCAGAGCACACACGGGAACATGTCCCACCACCCATATCAAACATACAAACCCGCTGGCCCAGTAACCTCACTTTAAGGAAGTGATTCCAAGGAACTACTTGACTGTGTGTACAAAGATCTCATCAAACATTGTTCCCAGTGACCTGTTTAGAAAAGTCCAGTGTAACTTCGAGGTCCACAAACAGGGGCGGGACCCTAAATGCCAGGCAGCCCCACCCACCACGTCCCACAAAGGCCCAGGATGGGAGCCAAGTCTGGACTCCTGACCTGTCGAGGTGATGACACCGCCCCTCCTGGGCCTCTCTTCCTCCTGGGCACTTCTCCATGACGGTTGGGAACATTGGAAATGTTTACACAGGACTTTAGATTTGCTTGGACCAGGATTCCCTGGGAGGGACCGTGTTGTCTCTTAGGAATACATCCATAGACGAGGCTTGGGTTGCTTTCCAGGGCCCCAGTCAGAGCCACTGGGGAAGGACACATGAGAGTGTGTGTATGTGTCTGTGTACATGTATGTGTGTGTGCATATATGTGCCCATATGTGGCTATTCACCTATGTGTGTGTTTGTTTGTGTGTTGTGTATGTTGTGGGTTCAGAAGAAATTGATGACCACTATAATGTCCAGAATTTGGAAGAGTCTTTATTCAGCTATAGCCAGGCTGCAGGGAACTAAAGTGTTCCCCTCAACTGCAGCCCTGAGCCTGATTTCAGGCAGGCTTATAAGGCTTAGGACTGCAAGCAGGCAGGCAAGCTGTTACAGAAGCAATAAACTGCCAGGTTATTGTTTAGGGAAGATTAATGGTCAGCTTACTATCAGAGCAGAAACACACAGTCCGGAGTGAGAGTCCTCAATTCTGAGAATTTCTGTTGGCAGGACGTGGCCCCCTAATTCTGGGAATTACTATTTACAGGGCTTTCAGGAAAAGGAAAGGGTGAGTGGGTTTCTCAGGTATGTTTGGTTTAGAGAAGGAAGAGGGGAGTGGGTTTCTCAGGGAAGGGCAGGGAGAAGTAGAAATGCTGTTATGCTGGAGTGCTTGTAAAATGGACTTTGCTGCAAAATGGAGTTTTAACAAATCATTACATAATAGAGTCGTCTACTTCATTCCCTACTGTTTTTGTTTGGGAACCAAATCATTGATTCATTCTCTATTTCCTGAGTGTTAAGGGCATTGTACTGGGTTCTAAGAACCATGAGTTTTACAGCCCCAATCCTATTTTGTATGAACTTGATTAGGGTGTTGAGTATGCAGGGTCCAATAATGAAGGTGAATAGAAGTAACATTAGTGGACCTACTACTAAGCTGGTGATAAGGGTTGTCGCCCATGGAGACCAGTCAACTAAATTTTGGTACCAATCTTTGTTTGAGTCCAGATTATCTTGTCTTTCTTTCACATTTTTCTGCACTAGGGTTAGAGTTTCTTTGATCACTCCTGTTTTATTAGCATATAAATAATATTATTCCCCTAGGGCAGCACATAGTCCACCCTGGTTTAAGAATAGCAAGTCTAATCCTCTTCTATTTTGTAAGGCTACCTCAGCTAGGGGTTTGACTTGCTCTGAGAGTTCTGAGATAGAGAACTCTAGTCCGCTTAAATCTATGTTGATGCTTTGGGCTAGTCCCCTCAAGCCCTGATCTTCAGTGATAAGGGCTGAGATTCCTGTGGCTGTAGATCCTACAATTCCCAATCCCACAAGTAGAGGAATTAATATAGGAACTTTTTTATGCCTAGGGTATTCTGGGGCCATTAATAAAGTTAGGCCCTGGTCTCCTTCATATACCTCAATTCGGGGTAACACATATACTAAGGTGCAAAACACTGGTTTTGCAGAAATACTAAATGCACAAGTGGATAGACAGGTGTCTAGGCCAAATGAGCAAGAAAACCAAGCACTTGGGGGGGGGGCATGGATACACATAGAGGTTCCATTGTATGTCACAACAATGGTCTGGTTACAATAAGTAGTAAATCGGGATAATGAGGGGAAATAAAACAATTTCCAGGTCACTGTAAGTCTCCTAACATAGGTGCATCTTATGAGAAATACACTCTATGTTAGAAAAGGAAGGTATAGATTAGATTCCTAAACCCACATAAAAGGGGGGTCTTGGGTTAAGACACAGCCAACAATGTTGAGCTAACTTGGGATTTGAGTTGTTTAAGATTGCAAGGGAGCTAGACAATAAATGGAACAAGGGAGTTTCAAAATACATGTGATTAGTAGGATTAATGGGGGGGGGGGTTGCATTCACAAAAGTTTTAGTTTGAGGGGATGTTTCAGATCCTTGAAGGCCTGCCATTGGGAGTCAGGAAGTGCCGGCTTCAGATGCATATGATGAATCCACAGTGTGAGGCCAGGTCCTCCACTTCCATGGCTGTGGGTGTGGATAAAACTACAGTGCAAGGTCCCTTCCAACGTGGGGTTAATCCTGTAGCAATGTGTCCTTTCTTAAGGATCAGTTCCCCTGGATGATGATAATGGTTTAAAGGTCAGGATCCAATCTCCTGGATGGAAACTATGAAGGGAGTGTCTGTAGGACACAACAACCTGCTGGAAGTAAACTGGTTAATAATTTGTAGCGTTGCAGACAAAGTTTGTACATGTTTCAAAATATTTAATTCTTTAACAATTTTAAGGTCTCCATTTCCTGCGTAACTAGGATGTCAACACTCTAGAAAATGGTTTCCCATATAATGTTTAATTTGGGCTTAACTTAAGCCTGCTTCTGGGGGCAACCCAGATCCGTAATAGGGCAACAAGTAAAAGTTTTATGTAAGATAAGTTGGTCTCTTGGCACATCTTAGTCAGTGTCTTCTTAAACGTGTGTTTCATTTTCTCAATTTTTCTTGTTAATAGGCTAGTCTTGTTACTTGCTGGACTTTTTGAGATGCAAATGTTCCCTCATAATTATTTTGAACTGAGACCAGTAAACTAAGCTGGGGATAATTTTAACAGGGTTTACTCACCTCTGCTGCTTTCCCGTATTGTAGGGAAAGGTTTTCACCCATCCAGTGAAAGTATCTATAAATACTAACAGGTACTTGATTTTTCAGGAGTTATAAGTTTTACCTGCCAGTCCTCACATAGGAGCTCTGGTAGCTTAGTGCCTAAGGCACTACACTGCTAACTAGAAGGCTGGTGGTTCAAACCCACCAGCCACACCTCAGAAGGAAAGTTGGGCAATCTACTTCCGTAGTGATACTGCCTTGGAAACTCAAGGAGGGGTTGCTATCCACAGCACATAAAAACAACAACAACAGCCAGTCCTCGCACAGGCTCAGTCCTCTTGTTTGAATTCCTCTTATTACTGGAGGTGGACTGCACTTTGGATTGTTTCTGGTATAGGTCAAGTAGTTTTGTGTAACCTTTTGGATGATTTTGTACAGATCCAGTCCTGTAATAAGTTCACTCAGTCAAGTATACAGGGCATCTTTTCCCATAACAAGTGCTGGTTGTAGTGACAGTTCTGTCAGTAGCTTCTGTAGTCCATAGCAGCAGGTAATTGCAGGAAGTTGTCTGTAAGGCCCATGCCTGGTCAGGATTAAAAACCACCTGGAGTTTATTAGCTGAGAAAGTAACTTGAGTATTTAATTTGGTTATTAAGTCTTATTCCAACAGAGGAACAGGGTATTCAGGTATGTATAAAAACTTCAAGCTAGTACAGTACTCCCAATCTGACATTCAAGAGGTTGAAGAAAATTTTTACATTACTGAAATTCCAGTAATGCTTGTAGTCTTTTTGGGACCGAGGGCCCTTGGGGGTATTTAGGACTGAGGTTGCCCCTGTGTCCAGTAGAGATTTGATGGTCTGTTTCCCCACAGTTATTGCTACCCAGGCTCCTTGTAGGAGATAGGAATTTGTTCAGTCTGCAACGGAGCCCCTGGGCCCCATCATCCTTGATTGCTGTTAGCTGTGCTTATCACCTGTTGGGCCTCTTTTGGTAGCTCTATCTGGACACTCCCGTTTTCAGTGCCCATTTTTCTTGCGTAAGCACACTGTTGAGGCCCCAACTGTGTTGGTCGACCTCTTGGAGCAGGAGCTTGATTTGCTCCCTTTCTATCCCTTGGGGGCCCATGGGGACTTACCCGGTATGATTGACTTCATGACAGGTCTCCCAGCAGCCAGCAAGGCAGTCGGTTGCTTCATGTCTCTTTGTTTCTGTTTCTCCTGCTCCTGGTCCCGGTTACTATAGACCTTGAAAGCAACCTCTACAAATTGAGAAGTATTCATACCCAGTCTCCCTTCTAGTTTGGGCATTTGGGTTGGTGTCAGTACACTGATGGTAAGTTTTATATACCCATTTGAAGAGAGCAGAAGGATTTTCCTTGATGCTTTGTTGTACTTCCTGAACCTTTGAATCAGCTTTGGGGCCCCCTTTTTTTTTTTGAGCCCTGTGACAGTGTACTCCAACCTTGTTCTGTCCTCTGGGTTATTGGGATCCCACTCTGGATCTGTTCCTGATGGTCGTGGTCCCTGGCTAGGTTTTCAGGCTGGAGGTTATGAAGTCTGTTGGATTCTGCTCTAGCTTCCTCTGATACCACCCACCTTTCTTCAGGGGCAAGGTAGTTAATAATGGATTAATGTGAATCAGCCAAGGTGAATGCCACCTGAGTCTAAACAAAATCTACAGGGTTTTCTTCATGATTTAAACTGGCTGGAACCTGCTGTAATGCGTATTGCCCTGATGGATCTGGTCTAGACCCCTGGCCAAATTTTTACAGCATTCTGAGTATGTGTTTGGAGATCATTTCCTGAGGGGCAGATGGGGAGGAAGGGAGTTAAGGTAAGGGTCTTTACAGTCCTGGAAGACACTCTTAAAATCCACTTCTCCTCTAGATATCGACCTTACTCTACTGTTTTTATGTGAACTCTTGTTTTGAAACAAGGTGAGAAATAACTTTAGATGAAACAATTCTTCCCACCTTTGATGTCCAACTGATGTTATTTTAGTTCAGACCTCCACTTTCTGACCACATCAGAGGTCATAACTATTATATCATCCAGCTGAGACTCACCAATACTGTGGTCAGACGGTGTTAACAGAAAAATACCAATTATTATTATTATTTTTTAATATGCTGAAAACCAAAATGAGCTCAGTTTCTCAGAATACAGCCAATAGGCTCCATTCTGGTACAAAATCTTGGTTACTCAATTTCTAATCACACCTACATTCACTCAATCACACTTACATTCACTTAATCACACTTACATTCACTCGAAATTGTTGCACCAGTGCCAAGTTCACACACTTTTTACACACAAATCAAGTAAAACTGGACCAAAATAGCAATGTCTCAGCTGTGGAGGTGATCTTAATTAAAGTTACTTATTAAGGATCAAAATTTCAACCTCCTTGTCAGCTAGAAGCCAGCCCAGAATTAGGGAGGTTTGGACCAAGCTTAACCAAATATCACTCTAAGCATATAATCAATGTTGCTGAATTTTACATGTAAAAAAAAAAAAAAAAACATTTCAATCGGTCTATGTTGTTTCATTAATAATTTACAAAGATAAAAATATTTCCCCATAAAATTAGCTTATCTATTTTTAAGAAATAAGCATGTGGTTAAAGAGGAACTATCAAGCATTACTAGTAAAAATGTAGTTTGATAATTTTAGAGTAAGAATTTAGTAAAATGAATGCAAAGTTTTAAAAATGTATGATACTACTTAATCTAACAATTTTATACATCATAATCAATCCAAAAATAGTGAGATGATAGAAGTCAAGAGCAAGGGCTCATATATTTTAGGAGACACAACTGCACCGGTAACACAACTGAAGGATTTTATTCTCAGGTTATTGTAGCCTGAGAGGACCGGGAGGTGGGCTCAGACAGGCCCCACCTTGGTGACTGAAAACTCACTTGGATTTGCTCCAGGGTCAATTGGTGTTCCCCGCTGCTTATCTGTTGGTTCATGGGGGCAGCCTCAGGGCCTATGTACCCCAGCTCCGGCCACATACCCTTCAGCTTCTCCCATACGGGCCAGATGCATGTTGAGTCCTGGGATGGACATGGGACTCATTTCTGATTCTCCAGAGCAGTTACTTATTTTTCCTCTTTAAATATATTGTTGGGTCCCTTTAAGGGGGTATTGAGGAGAGATCAACCCATCAGCCATGGTTGCCATCCTCCTTCAGCCTCCAAGCCCCTCTGTGACCATGACCTTCTTCTGCACATTGTTGGTGTTATGAGGTGCCATTGAGGTGGCTCTCACGTGTAACAGACCCGTGCACAACACAACGAAACACTGCCTGGTCGTGCACCACCCTCACAGTCCTTGCTACACCTGAGCCCATCATTGCAACCACTGTGTCAATCCACCTTGTTGGGGGCCTTCCCCTTTTTTGCTGACCCTCCACTTTACCAAGCATGATATCCTTCTCCAGGGAATGGTCCCTTCTGACCTGATCAAAGTAGGTGAGATGAAGTCTGGCCATTCTTGCTTCCAAGGAGCATTTCGGCTGCACTTCCTCCAGGACAGATTTGTTTTCCTGCCATGGCCCTTAGAAATTACCCACAAGCCTCTTGTTCTCCCAGCCCCCTTGGGCCACGCTGACGGGCCACCAGCCCCTCCCCTCACTCAAGGGTTTCCCAGGACCTCCCAGCCTTTTTCCCCACCCCTGCACCCAACGAACAACACCAAGGTTCAGGTTTTGCTCAAACAGTGTTCATTTATTGGGGTTGGCCAATGTTCTACATTCCTCTCCTCTACTCAGATTTCAAAGATCTGTCCCTCCCATCCCAGGCTTCTGGGAAGACCGCCCTATGTCAGGCCGACTCATTACTAGTTAGCTCATGTTGTACCTGGAGTGTTTGAAGTGGAAGAGGGAGAGAGAGAGAGGAAGTGGTTGCAGGTGAGGAAGAGGAAGTGGTTGCAGGTGAGGAAGAGGAAGTGGTTGCAGGTGAGGAAGAGGTAGAGGAAGTGTTTGTGGGTGGAGCTGAAACGGCTGAGGGCACCGGCTTGGGTGTGGTTGAAGTCGGGGTCTGGATCCAGTTGAAGCCTATGCTTGTGATACAGATGACCCCTATCTGGCCACTGATGGAGCCGACCTCCATCGACGGCTGTGGTGGTAAGGCCCGGAATTTGTAGATTCCTGGCCAGCCAAATTGCATGTAGCGCCCCTTGCTGGTAGTGATGGTGATATGCCTCAGGCAGAGTTCGTGGCTGCCAGACACCTCAGAGACGGATTCTCCATCTTCCAGGAGGAATTCCTCGGACCTGCCCCCCAAAACTCCGTGCCGCTGGCTCCAGATGTTCCCGTATTTGATCTGAATTCTGGGAGGAAAACAGACAGTTGGGGAGAAATAACAAATCACTCAAAATGACTAAAATTTGCTGGCAATAAAAACAAAAACCATTTGGGTGGAAATTAACACTTTCAACAACTTTTTGTCATCTATGAGTCACTCGAGGAGCTCTGGTAGCATAGTGGCTAAAGCACTTGACTGCTAACCAGAAGGCTGGCAGTTCAAACCCACTAGCCACTCCTCGGAAGGAAGGTTGGGCAATCCTACTTCCGTAGTGATACTGCCTCGGACACCCAAGGAGGGGTCGCTATGAGTCGGGGTCGACTCGACGGCACATAACAACAACAACAACATGAGTCATTTGGGGGCATCACTGAACGGTTTTACAATTTGAAATATATCTTTTATCCTACCTGATGACTTTCAGACTTTGGGGCCATGTCAACTTTAAATTCATTTTCTGTCACAAGTGCCTTTTCTGCTTAGAGGTCATGTTTTTATGAGTGTTTCCAACCAAGGGTCATCTGCCGGTCAACTTTGTCCCTGACTAGTGTGATGGTTAGTTTTATGTGTTGACTTGGCTAGGCCAGTTATCTGGGCAAACACTAATCTTGGCTTACTGTGGTCTTTTGTAGATGTGGTTAGCGTCGGCAACTGGTTGGCTTTCAGTAAAGATCACCCTTGGTAATATGTTGTTGTTGTTGTTATGTGCCGTCGAGTCGGCCCCGACTCATAGCGACCCCTCCTTGGGTTTCCGAGGCAGTATCACTACGGAAGTAGG